AACAGGATTGTGAATACTTTTAATAGCTGCTGTTTGTAAAATAACATTAAAAATAAAGTATCCTCATAATGCTCTTCAAAATATTTATACCCCTTTGACTGTTTAAAGATTTTACCATTTTATAATCACAAGCTTAAATGTATTTTATTGCAACACCGAAATAGCAGACCCTTGTTACAAGGAATGGAAAGGATCCCTGTTCACTTCATCATCTGAAAATGAATGGGTGTAAAACAAGTGCAGTGAAACTTGGCATTGTGCCTGGAACACCTCCCAAGGAAAGCATCCAGGGGAATCTGAAAAAGATGCCCAAGCCACCTTTTGTTGTTACTACAGGAGCCATAATAGTGGCCAGAACCGGCTCTACAGAGGCACTGGCCCCTTGTTGGCTCCTTTATAAAACCATCCATGATCATGTGAGATTAAAGCTACAACCACACAGAGATTAGTTTAGTTTAAATGCAAAGAAATGTAGTTTCCTAAGCTGTGTATTCAAATGAAAGCAGCGTTTTGGGAGAGGACTTGTACTCGTCATCTCCCACTTCATCCGCGACCATGTTGCGGGAACATCTGTCCCCTTAGAGAATCCCAGACTTCCCTCTCTGCAGACACCTCCTTCAACTCTGCAAGGGGGAAAGCCCAAGGCACTCCCAGGCCAGCCAAGACAAATAGTCCTTTCAGCGTGTCCTAGGTTGTCCCCTGGGTTTCCTCCTGGTGGGACGTGCCTGGAACACTTGCCGAGGGGGACATCCAGGGGACATCCCAAAAAGATGTCCGAGCCATCTCAGTCGACTCCTCTCGATGTGGACCAGAAGTAGATCTACTTCAAGCTCCTCCTGAATGACAAAGCTCCTCACCCTATCTCTAAGGGTTCAGAATCCAGCCGTTCATTTCAGCTGCTTGTATCCGGGATCTCGTTCTTTCGGTCAGGATAAAGACTTCATAACCATAGTTGAGGGTAGGAACGTAGTCCAAGCCGCACTGATCTGTCTATCAATCTTCCATTCTCTACTCAATTGATAACAGGACCCCAAGATGCTTAAATTCCTCCACTTAAGGCATGGACTCTCCTCCAACCTGAGTGAGACAGGCCACCTTTTCTAGCCAAGAACTATAGTCCTGTACTTGGAGGAGGTGATCAACATCCCAGCCCCTTCACACTCAGCTGCAAACTGCAACAGTGCATGCTGTTGGTCTTGGCAGCAGGGAGCCAGCAGAACCACGATATCCGCAAAAAGCAGGGATGATCCGCCAGTTCCCAAAGCAGACCCCTCTGGTCCTTGATTGCGCCTAGAAACCCTGTCCATAAAGGTTATTAACAGGACCGGTGACCAGCCCTGATGGAGTCCGAAATGCACCAGAAACAGGTCACAATTAATGCCAGCAATGTGGATCTGGCTCATACTCCCCTTGTACAGAGACCAGATCCAGCTAATAAGGACCCCCCAACTCTGTACGTCTGAAGCTCCCCCCACAAGGCGTTACAAAGGACTTGGTCAAATGCCTTCTCCACGTCCACAAAGTACATGTGGTTGGCAAACTCCCATGAACCTTCGAGGACCTTGCAGAGGGTGTAGAGCTTGTCCATTGTTCCACAACCAGGAGGAAAACCAAAACCTCCAGAAGCTGAGGTTTGACCATCAGCCATACTCTCCTCTCCAGTCCCAGGGCACCTTACGTCCACATCGACATTAGAGGCAGAGAACATGGCCCACTCAGACTCCACGTCTCCAGTCTACCCCGGAAACTCGGAGAAGCTCTCCCGGAGGTGGGAACATGTACCTGATTGAGGGCTCCACCAGACATTCCTAGCAGACCCTCACTACTTGCTTGGGTCTTCCGAGTCTGTCTGGCTTCCTCCTCTTCCAGCACATCCAACTCACCACCAGGTGGTGGCTGGTGGACATCTCCGCCCCTCTCTTCACCTGAGAGTCCAAGACATGCGGCTGAAGGTCAGAAGATACGATTACAAATTCGGTCATTGACTTCGAGCCTCGGGTTTCCCGGGACTAGGTGCACCGCTAGACATCCTAATGCTTGTACGTTCATTAAAGACACTCAGAGAGCTGAATTGTATATTTTTTTATTGGGTCCCAGAGTGTAAAAATCAAAGAACGCTGGTTTCATGTTTCAGTGTTTACAAAAGTGCTGAATCTTTTTTTCGAAACAGCAATGATGCAGCTCAACCTACTTAACCTAGCCTGCCTCTTTACTGCCATGGTACTGTTTTCACCCCACATGAGCTGTCCACACATGCCCTGGCTCAATCCGAATACCTCAAATATGTCAGGACACATAATCCATGGCTGAGGCACATCCCCAGTAGTGCTATTTGAATAGTGCTGGCATTTAAGAAGGAACTAGCACCAGGAAGCAGTATGCTTCCTATCTCCAGTGCAATTATCATAGGGGACTCTTGACATATAAATATGCCTCTAGGAGCTATTTGGTTGCTCACAATCCTTTGCATAACAGAACGTATAAGCACAGCCTACCTCACGGTGTTTAAAACAAAATATATATTTATTCATGTCCTTTTTGTAAAACATGAAAATGTTCACACCTTTTTATATTTTCGGTTTTAAAACAGCAAACAGCAGCCGTTCACTTCACCTTTTTTTGTTTGGTAGTTCTTCTCCTGAAAGCTGAAGTCCCATTTTGAAAAGTGTGACCACCGCATGATGACATCTGTCTGTAAGGCTGCAGTCTGCCTGGATTTATCACAGCAGTCTGAGGCTCCACCCCGGATAATGTTCGGAGAGAACATTAGCTAAGAACTACAGAGAAGGAGCTAAGGACTACAGTTGGACGCATTTGGATCGAGTCCCAGTGTTTTTGTCAGTTTGGGTGTGATTCTGTGGCAGTGTCACAGCGCCACCAAAGGGCCCTTCATATATTCTACAGCTTCTTCATTTGTGCTGTGTACACTTGTGTGGACACACCTGTTATTGATGCCATTTATGAAAATATCCTGTGTTCATATTTTTGTGGAGTAGAACCTAGATAACACACAGGTGGACATAGTTTCACTAATAACGTGATTTTTAAAGGTGAGTGATTGCAGCAGAACTTTTTTGAAGCTTTATACCAGGGGTCACCAACGCAGTGCCCGTGGGCACCAAGGTGCACTCAAGGACCACATGGGGGGCCCTCAGAGTCTTCTAAATAAAGAACAACCCACCAGTGGGCTAAGTTTGAAATTTTATTTTATTCTGTTGCTCTTCTTTTTAATCATTTATAAAGATTTCAAAATGACAATGTCTAAATAAACTTAGAAATGAACAGAAACGATAAAAATATGTTGATAATGAACAAAGTTTAGGCTAACGCTAACCCTTGCAGCTCATGGGTCAGTAATGGTCGCCTTTCCTACGTCTCGGTACCCTTGAAGTGGCCCTCAGCCTTAAAAAGGTTGGTGACCCCTGCTTTATACAGTAGTAGGCATTAAAAATTTCCCCACTCTCCTTCATGGGCTCTTGGCTGATCCTTTGCTGTTCCTTAACTAGTCCCCTACCATTCCTTTTTGAACATCAATATTTGTCCAAAAATATTCTTTCTGTCATGATTCGTGGACATTAAGATCTAAAGATCCTGTAATTCAGTGAAAAATTGGAGTGAGAGTAAAAAAATATGCATGCCCAGGAAAATGCCAGTGACTGGAAGTTGGAGGGGATTTTGCTGGGAGCTGCAGGGAAGTGGGCTGCCATTCGGCTTGTGTTTGACTGGGAAGGGGCTGCAAATGAAGGTTGATGTATGTGAACATACCATTACTTTTAGAGTTAAGAAATTAGCTCTGGTTAGAAAGTGGCAGCATCATGCTGTAGGGAGAGTTTATAGGAGGAAATGTGGAAAAAAACACTGGGCTGTACTGGAAAAAAACAAAAACCTTTGAGTCTGCAGAAGAATCAAGAATTAAACAGAAGCTTAGCATAGAGCCAGAAAAAGTTTACACCTAGAGTAGTAGCCATTCACAATTTCCCCACTTTCCTTGATGGGCCCTTGGCTGGTCCCCTACATTTACTTTTTAAACATCGATCTTTGGACTAAAATATCCTTTCTGTCATGATTTATGGACATCAAAATCTAAAGTGAAGCATCATCTCCTGGTCAGACACTGTAATTCATTGACAGGGTGAGTAAAAAAAATATGCATGCCCAGGAGAAGGCCAGTGGGTGGAAGTTGGGAATGATTTTGCTGGGAGCTGCAGGGAAGTGGGCTGCCATTTGGCTGGTGTTTGACTGGGCAGGGCAATTTGGAATGGCTGCTACTGTATAACTAATTCACAGTGTTTGGTAAAGCTGAAACACCGATAATTACAGACACTGTCTATCATACTTAAATTAGACTGAGTTACGTTTGAAAAGGAAAGGGGAAAAAAAGGCTATTGATGCACAAAGTTGGTAGAGTCAGACTACCAAAGATTTGCTGCTGAAGTATCAGAAGAAGGTGGTATGATACTGATTTCTTTCCTTATTCATTCACCTTTTTTGTTTGTCATAATCTTAAGAAATTAGAATTTCCAAACGAAATTTCTTTTTGTTTTACACTTTTGTAAACAAAATGACAAATAAAATCTGTCTAAAGTCTAAGTCTCTAAAGAAAGCCCATTTATCTTTATGGTTCTAATATGACAGAATGCCAAATAGATCTATGGTCTACTGTATGAATGCCAAACGGTTTATCTACAAAGTAAAAACAAATTGCAATATGCCATTAAAAGTGAGTACAAGAAGCTTAATAAGGAACAACAAATATAACATGTTTTAGCATGAAGCTTCTTAAAAGCCTTTGAGGAAAGAGTGTGGCTATTTATTCTGAGTCCGCCGTTAGTCCTTGCTGACCTTTTTGCGCTGTGTAGTGGTTAAAATCCCTTTAATGTCCTTCTTTAATTACATACAGCAGGGATTTCTAGAGAGGATCCCAGTTAGAACACCATTAAAGGGGATTACAAGCATATTCAATGGGGAAAAATAACCCAAACTCTCTGCTTTCTCCTCAGCTGCATCCAGCTGCATGGTTAATTTCACAGACCCAGAGGGATACATAGACTCCTCTGACAACCCGCCTCTGCCTGACGGCCTCTTCCTGCACTGCACCTACACTGTGACCGTCTACACCGGCTACGGAGTGGAGCTGCAGGTGTGTCTCAGCCCCAGGGAAATCCCACACATGACGACTGCAGTCAGGATGTGACATGTTCACGGCCAGCAGAGTGTTTGCTTATCACTACTAGTGTGATTGTGTTTAGGGATGCTGCAGTGTTTGTGTTCCTGTCGTCATGTGGATGCCTCCAAGTCTTCTGCCTCCTAGTGGTAAAACTTAAAAGTGTCTTAATCAGCCATGCCAAACAATATGACAGAGTATTGGGGCCAGGCTAGAGATTTCTTTTCCTTCTATTTCATGAATTAAGTCGTAACATTATGAGGAAAAAGTCACAACATAATAGTCATAAAATTATGAGAATAAAGTCGTAATATTAAGAGAAGAAAAGATTAAGTCTTAAAATTACGAGAAACAAGTTGTATTTTATGACAACAATGTCAAGCATTATGTGAAGTTATACTTTGGCTCTGGTTTGATAAATAAAAACATCTGTTAGTGTCATGATGGGTTACTGAAAAGCCCAATATGCAGAACACCACGGAGACTGAAGAAAAGTTTAACAAGTTTATTGTTCACAAGCACATGGAAATAACACTGGTACTGGTTCAGGCCTGGGGGCTGGTTCACTGGAGTCTGTGTGGGAGATTGTTCAGTTAGCTTCGATGCAGTTGAGTTTGAGTTTAAGAGTTTCAGGTTTATACCTTGAGAAGTCCGGTTTAGGCTTTGAGGGAGGAACTATTGGGTCCAGAGATTGTTTAGTTCAGCAGAGTCCGATAACTGCTTCAGCGTCTTACTTCTAGCGTGAGGGCAGACCTTGGCTTTGGGTTTCCAGCTCTTAGTCCAGAGCTGCATGGGAATCCAGAGAAGAGTCTTCAGGTTTGGCTCAGAGGGCAGGCTCGGCAGGTTACGCTCTTCCAGAGCTTCACAGGAGAAAAACAGGATTCCTGAAAGCAGAGACAAAGGGTTAGAATCCAATCTGGATTCAATGGCAACACAGGTTCTCAGAAGATACTAGGCTTAGGTGCTAACCAACTGGATTTAACACTGCGGCGTCGAGGCAAGGTCTGAAGGCAGGTTATATACTGTGGATCCTCTGATGATGAGATGCGCCTCAGGTGTGTCGAAGGCTCAGCTCGGGAGGATCCATGGCGGACTCTGCTGGAGAAAGATGGAACTTCTCCAGCTCCAAACAGTTAGTGAACCAGCATCAAATTGGGCAGTAGGTCAAAGTGGACTCAGGCTGTTGATTGGTGGAGCCTCATGAGGCTTCATCTCACCATCACTGCTGAGAACCAAAAACCATAAAAAGTCAGAGTAAACTCACGTGGGGAGCCAGAGATGAGGAAGCAATTAAACAACAGGGAAACAGCACTGAATAACTGCACACGGAGAGAATATAAGGGAGACTGAACAAAGACGGGTAATCAGATGATATGGAGCAGATGTGGATGGAAGTGACTAGAAGGGAGCAAGGGGAAAGGAGACAGGCACAAGGGGGCAACAGAGAGTAACTTGAGACTGCTTAAATATAACACAAAATAAAAAATGAAACAAAGATAAGCAAAACAGAATTACTGATAGTGTTGCGCCAATGACATATTTTGGCCCCGATACACGGCTGTGCAGTATTGGCCAATAATGGTACCATACCGATACCATCTGTTTGAAATTGATGTGTGTGTATATATGAAGAACTGAATACTACTTGGATGTAAAATAATTGCCATCATGGCTTTATCAAGCTGCTGCCTACCTTTATGAAGCAGGAAAAAGACTAATAAAAACAGAATCCAGCAGAACTTTTTATTATTAACCGGTAATGGGTGACAATAGTTGAATAAACTTTTGGCTCTCAAAATGGTATCGGTGCCCTATTTGTTGGTACTTGCCGATACCGATACCACCATTTTAGTGCTGGATCAGGGCCCTGCCCCATACTGGTATCGGTGCAACACTACTGATAACTGAAAACTAAAAACTAAAGTCCCAAAAAGGGGAGAATCAAAACAATTTGGAATGTGTTGTTTTCAAATTGTAAATTAATCCTTAATATAAAAAAAAAATAGAAATGTGGCTTTATCAGAGACAAACACAAAGCAGAAAATGTAACATCTTTTATCTCAGTGTACATCCACTGAAAAGCCTTTTTCATTAAATAGAGTCTAAACAGTGGCTCAGATCGTCTCTAATTAGGACAATAACTTTCTGTGTGTTCAGGTGAAGAACGTGAATCTGTCAGACAGCGAGCAGCTGTCCATCAGAGGTGTAGATGACCGCGGCGCCATGCTGGTTCTGGCCAACCACACGCTGCTGGTGGAGGGTCAGGTGATCCGCAGTCCCACCAACTCTCTGTCCGTCTACTACCGCTCCGCCCCGGAGGGCAGCATGGGCCTCTTCCAGCTCCACTACCAGAGTGAGTCACCTCGCACCATTGGTGCACAAACACAGGAAACATAATCATGTGTTTATATAAACTGGTTATAGAATTTTTCCAACAGCCCTTTCATTAAGAGGCTGCTTGTGCTCTCTAAAGTGTATGTGTTAATTGCGTAATCAAATACCTTCTCATTGAGTCACTCAGCACGGTGATTGAATCTGTCATGTGAATTAGCTGATTAGAGCTCTGATTAATTATCTCTCATCTCATTAGGAGGCTGAGAATATGGGACATTGTATGGTGAGAGTGTGTGTTGTAGGTTGTTTTCTATGTGTGTCTGAGGACGTTGTCGTACATACGACGACAACAACCCACCTGCGCTGTTAATCATAATCATCTAATCCTTTTACATCGCTTCTACGATGGCACAGACTCAGATAAGATGATAAAGACTGCATTAACAGCCGAGAAATATTATTCCATCAAACCTGCAAAGCTTATTACGGTTTGTCAGTTCATGCTGTACCCACAGGTGCTCAGGAAGTCCATATGAAAGTGAAGCTGATGTGGATGAATAATCCAGCTTTCAAGTTTCCAAGTGTTCTATCTAAGGAAAACCAGTTGATTGCATCGACTCATTGACTCGAAGGCAATCCCTCACACTAAGCATGCTTGTAGCGACAGTGGAGAGGAAAAACTCCCTTTTAACAGGAAGAAACCTCCAGTAGAACCAGGCTCAGTGTGAGCGGCCATCTGCCGAGGCCGACTGGGGTTCAAGGAGACAGAAGCAGAGATACAGAAAGAAGCAGAGATACTCCACTCTAATAATTAATTATTTGATACATAAATTACATCCCTAGTGGAAGTAAAGCTGCATCTGATGGTCGTTTAGGTTCACATAGAAACAGCAAACAATTAAAAGTAAGTTGAACTGGAGCTGAGCAGTTCTGGCGCTAGTGTAACTTTAACCACGAAGATGGAAAACCAACAGAAAAGGAAGCTTGGAATCGATGCAACATCTAAATCTTTTAAAGCTATATTTCCTTCTCTAAAACATATTGTTTTTTTTCCACCTGCCTTTTTTAAAGATTTACCAAATGTGCTCGAACGTCACTTCTTTAATCTCTTGTCTCGTAGTTTTCAGGCTGAGTTGCTCACTTCCAAAGAGACCTCACTTTGGGGAGGTGTCAGTGCTGGATCTGCTCCCAGGAGGCATAGCTCGCTTTCACTGCCACATGGGTTATCACCTGCAGGGGAAATCTCAGCTCACTTGCATCAACGCATCGCTTCCGGTTTGGAGCGGCAAGGAGCCAAGCTGCAGGGGTGAGTCTGTATGGTGGTTTATTACAATAGCGCATCTCTGGGTACTCTGAGGTTTTAAGTAATACTGTAGAGTGTGTTCACAATCAGAGGCTGCATCCTTCGAAGGTTTGATGACCGATTACATCACGTAATTCCCCCAAATCTTGTCAGAAACCAAAACTCCTCCTAAAGCTCCTGTCACACCTTGAAGATTTAGACCAGCGTATGCCTGATGTAAAAAAAAATGTCAAAAACGCTGCCATACATTGAATAAGTTATGGGTACGTTTTTATAAGTTAATGCACAATGAGCATGAGGAAACACGCTGTCACAAGTTGACATACGGCGAGTATGCAGGCGTATGCCATACGTGGGGGGATAAGTTATAGGTAAGTTATGTGATGGTTGACATACGTTAAGAGGAAGTTACTCATAAGTCGTGGCGTCCAGCTTATCCATAACCTATGAGTAAATTGTGCATAACTGATGCGTAACTTATCAAGAACTTATTTCCAATGCATGTCAACATGTTTCTAACTTCCAGCTACTTTATAATGGCGTATTAGTATGGAGAGATATTTGTGCCATCGGTTTGAGCGCGCAGGAACCAATCCGAGCGTGCAGTGAGACAACACGCGCGCGCGCAAAACCGGTCTGGCGCGCGCTCAACTCTGAAAAACCCTCTCAACACACTGTTCTCGCGCTCAGTTTCATCTCTGCGCGTGCTCGAATCCGTCTCTGCTCGCGCTCGCTCGACCTGCTCTCTCTCCGCGCTCAACACCAGCTGTGCGCTCGGCTGTTTCTGCGCTCGCAACTTCAGCAATGTATGTAAATGAACCATACCATCAGCCAATCACACGCAGCTTCTTTTCATCCAATGAAAGCATTCCTTCCTTCTTCTTCTTCTTCTTCTTCTTCTTCTTTTCTATCATGGCGGATCGCAAGCAACTTTAAGGTGTATACCGCCACCTACTGTTCATGAGTGTGTAGCAACATTGTTTTACATCTATTAAATTCTATTTTTTAATTTTGTATTCTGCAGATAACTAAATAATGCTTTCCTTAATCTATAAATATCCTTTATATTTCCTTTATTTCCCAATAATCCTTTAAGACTCCATTCTTGGCCTGTCATTTCAACTACTCTTCTCAATTTCTCCCTTTCAGGTTCATATGTTTTACAGTTCATTAATATGTAAGCATTCGTTCCAAATACTACATCCGGTTAAATGAAAAAATAAATAAATAAAATAAATAAAAACACAATCAGGAAAATCAAACAACTCTTACAGTTATTTTGTCAACATTCCTAAGATAGTACTATAAAATATCTTGAATGATCTCAAATAAACTTCAGTAAAACAGTTATTAGATCATTGCCTCATCCATCTCTTTTACCTGCTATTGACATGGATTTAAATTTGCTGTTTTAAAAGAAAAATAAGGAGGATATTTCAGGTTCAAGTATGGTAAAACAATGTTGCTACACACTCATGAACAGTAGGTGGCGGTATACACCTTAAAGTTGCTTGCGATCCGCCATGATAGAAAAGAAGAAGAAGAAGAAGAAGGAAGGAATGCTTTCATTGGATGAAAAGAAGCTGCGTGTGATTGGCTGATGGTATGGTTCATTTACATACATTGCTGAAGTTGCGAGCGCAGAAACAGCCGAGCGCACAGCTGGTGTTGAGCGCGGAGAGAGAGCAGGTCGAGCGAGCGCGAGCAGAGACGGATTCGAGCACGCGCAGAGATGAAACTGAGCGCGAGAACAGTGTGTTGAGAGGGTTTTTCTATGGCAAGCCAAGAAGGTCATATTTCGCATTGAATTCTCGCGTTAAGATTGAAGTTAACCCGCAAAAAACGCGCGTTCCCCCGAGATTACGCCGCTTTTTACGCCGTCTTTTACCAACAAGCGCCGCCTTTTACGCGCGTCATGATAGTACCGCAAGACGCGCGTTAAATACGCGCGTTGTGTTGGTCAGAACGCGCGTTAAATACGCGCGTTGTGTCGGTCACAACGCGCGTATTTAACGCGCGTTTTCCTAATATGATAATGATGTCCTTCCTTCTTTTCCCACAGCCAATGCATTTGAACTGGTTGCATCCAATGGCTGATCAAGGCAGCCAGACCAAGAAAGTTCAGCATAGATCTGCTTTGTGGAAAACTGCACAGAGCTCAAAGTTGCAGCATTGCCAAAATTCACTGCATTGCCGTTTCACAAAGACTTAATGTTAGGAATATATCCACTACATACACTTTGCTGTTATTTTGAATCCATTCCATGCCTATTTTCATGTAAAAACGTTTTGCATCGCCAACTGATGTTTTGTATTTACCGGGATTACTAGGAATGTTTCACCACTTATCATCACCGAGAGGCGGCGTAGTGGGTTAAGTAACCGCCTTCAATGCGATTTTTTTGCTTCGTGGCAGGTTCGAATCCGGCAGAGGCAGTCCGACTTTTCCCTTTATGTTCTTTCTTGTCTCCAACCAAGCCCATTAATTTATTTATTTTTTTCTGAGAATATAATCATAAATGTAGCCTACTTCACTGTTTTTGATCCATCGCCATGCATTCTGTCATGTAAAAACATTTTATATTGTACTAATAAAATGACAATAAAGGGGACACTTGTCTTCCAGAAAATTTGCCGGTCTGACTTGTTTTCTGTATATTTTCCTGCATATCACCAACCTTTTCCCATAATGCTTTCTACAGCCATGGAGCAACTGCTGTTAAAATTAAATTAACAGGAACATTTCTTATTAAAAGTGTTATTAGTGCAATGAGAAAAAACTTGCTTAGTTGAGCCAGTGGAGGTTTGATGATCCCCATAGCTCATGTTCTCTGTCTCCTACATATACACACATATATATATATATATATATATATATATATATATATATATATATATATATATATATATATATATATATATATATATATATATATATATATATATATATATATATATATATATATATAAACCACGTCACATAAATGTTCTTTCAGTCTACAATACTTTCAGTCTGCAGATGGCGCCATATAACGGGTAGGCTACTGGCAGAGCAGCAAACAGGTGTTTGCACCAAAGCTGGGGAACAATATAGGCAAGGTGTGTCTCTTTTTCAAGAGAGAACTGGATACTGGATTCTTTCATCTTTTTTATTTATTATGAACTATTATTTATCTATTTCCCACTACCTTTTACCACTAGTCAATACCTTTACTTATGTGTACTGGAACAAGATCCAAATGTGCAAGAGTCTAATTACATTTTCATTGTGGAGTAGGAGACAAGATATGGGTGCAGCACCTTCCATTGGGGGTGTATCCAGAAAACAGGTACTACGTTATTTAGATGTTACATTTAATTTTAACAGCAGTTGTTCCGTGGCTGCAGAAAGCATTATGAGCTTGGGAAAAGGTTAGCGATAACAAGTCAGACAGACACATTTTCTGGAGGACAAGTGGCCCCTTTATTGTCATTTTATTAGCACTATGTAAAAAGTTGTTACATGACAGAATGAATGGCGATGGATCAAAAACAACAGAGAAGTGGGCTACATTTATGGATTATATTCTTGGTTAGAGGCAAGAGAGAATATCAAAGGCATAGGTTTGATTTCAGCTTTGGCAGGGACACTATTGGTCTTCAGTTTCATTGGTCTAATGTCATTGGTCCTTTGCAAAAAGATGCATACTCTTTTTTTATGCTTAATGTGAGCATCAGGCTTTGATGTGTTTAAAGAGAACAGCATAATTTCTTCCTAGATTAATACAAATCTTATAAGCACTACACTCACTAGATGCTATTTAGCAATGTTTGAAGCATCACTGGCTCTGATCAATGTGCAATTAGGACTTTTTTCCACTTTGAAAATGTTTGCATTTAAACTTACCAGTAAGACAGAAGGTAAATACATTCCTATTTAACCAAATATAATCTAAATATGCCTGTTATATGTTGACGTATCATGGGTTTTCTTTTGAAGATATATAATTGTGCAGAGGTAAACAGGTGAAACCCACTCTTATTTTTTTATGTAATATGCTCTCTCTGTGTCATGCAAAATAATACATTCAACGGACGGCAAATAAATGTATTGTATTTACATGTGCACTGGAACTATAAGAGGAACTCACACTGAGCATTTTGAAATATTAACTTCACTATACAAGTTGTACATCTGGGCTGTAGTTACTCTATGTAGCCCATTTCATAATTTTTTTTCTATGGCTAAAACAATTAATCATATCTATCAATAATTTAAATAATTGTCAACTGATTTAGTAATTGATTAATAATTAACTGGAGTATAGAGCCACTAAGATGTGCCTTTAGCCAATAGAGCGACCCACTTAGAGCAGGAATTATACCAAGATTATGAAAAAATATGTAAACATTTTGCATTTAAGACAAAAAAAACTTTTAGTCTGTCAATATTCTCCATCCAGAACTCCTCAAGAGGAAACGTTTCTGTTTCACCTGGGGTCATTTCGTAAAAAAATCTACTTTTAGGAACCTTTGGGTGATCTGAATATTAATCAATTCATCAAAAACATAATCAACAGATTAATCAATTTGCAGAATAATCATTAGTTGCAGCCCTAATTTTATGATAGCATTCCAAACACATTTCTTCCATCATGCAGCAGTGAAGGGCAGCTGCTTCACCCTGAGGCTGCCCTGCATCATTATATCTGTTTCCTACAATCATATAATGTTTCTATTCTACAAGTGCGTCTATAATAGTAAAGGATTAAATGTAACAACCTTTTATCATCATCCTATATTGCTTGCTGTTTAAAAGCTCCTTATGTCTATTTTCTTTTTTAGTGGCATCATCTACAAACACAACACTAAGAATCAGCCAAAGTTTATTAAAATATAAAATCACTTTAAACAATTATTATCTTGTAATGTAATAGTATCCAAAATAAACAGCCAGATTCAAGCATTATTTACCAGAGATTAATGTACTAATTTACTTATGGACTGTGTGGAAATCTAGAAAA